TTTATAATTATATTTTATAGTTTACAATGTCATGATTTCATAAAACCAATATATATTAATATTTTAATAAATTTAATAAGATCTAATAATTGGTAGCTAACATCTAGTTTAATTTATATATTTGTATTTCCCTTACAATTATATCATATCAAACAAGTAAAGACTTACGTGCATTAGAGGTACAAAATTCACGTATGTGACCATCTTATCACATGCTTCCATACACTTCAAGATAGGCATAACAAAATTAGTTTAAAAACTAAGAGCAGTGCAATTAAACATAAGAAGTAAAACTAGATAAATCTCAAAATAGTCCCCAGACTATTCGTTATAGCCAATTTATTCCACTCATGTTGCCCCAAATTAGTCCATTGACAATACAAAATTGATCCAAAATAATTTTGCATGTTGTAATTGTGATATAAAATTTATCCCAATTTAGCCTCCCAACTTTAAAAAACCGATCATAAGTTAGTCCTAAAGGAGCCATTTAGGATCAATTTTGTATAGTCGAGGGACTAAATTGAAGCAACGTTATATTGTGGGACTAAAATGACCATATATGAATAATCAATGGACTAATTTGAAATTTAATCCGAATTAAAATATAAGAATAAAGGGTTTGTTTGACATCACTTTTAGTTTTTACTATTATTTTTTATTTTTTAAATTTTGAACAAAAAATATTAGGTTAGCATTTTATAAGTATTTTTTGTTTTGATTACCAAATCAATTTATTTTTAAAAACATCCAAGATGATTATTACATGTTTTTATTATTTTCAAAATATGAAATCCCAACCACTTGACCTCACACACCATGAAGACTACCCCCCGTACTAGTTGTCAGCCAATCAAGTACCCAGTATGGCCAACCCTATGCAGTTGCAGCACAAAATTACTAATTGCCTATTTTTATTAAAAAAATGAATTGTTATATTGATTGATAGCTTATGATATACGATTCCCAAAAAAAATTTCATGAAAGCCGACTAAATCATATAGTAGTTGCATTAAAAAATTCTAACTTTGAATCAACCTGAATCAATTGTCAAATTCAAATAGACAACTATAATTGTACTTTGAAAGCTTTAGTTTCTTTTAAAGTGGCTATTTTGGAATGGACATATAGGTGCATAAATTTCCTAGCATTTTGATGGACTAGCCGATTTGATTGGGAGAAAACTAGAAAGTTTCGTAATCAAGAGAGAGCTATTTAGGAAGGTTATTAATCAAAAGAGAATTATTTAATAATGTTTAAATTACAATTGGGGGAGAATTATTTAAGCATGCGATCTAATTTGAATTCAAAATCTAAGAGATAATTCTTTAGAAAAAAAAAAGGAGGAATTAAAGGGGGATTGTTTAGAAAAGTTTTAATCCCAATTGAAAGGGAATTAATTAGAAAAAATAAGTCTAATTTGAATTCAAATTTGAGAGGGAATTATTTAGGGAAAGTTGGCATATTTTGGAGGAAACTATAGAAGCCTATTTAAGGCTAACAATAGGGTGATTTCTGATGGATATTTTGACTTTGCTGAAATTAGAATTTCTAAGATTGTGAGGGCTCTAGCCGCCGGCTAATGATTTGGGAGAGTCAGATCTTCCTCTCCAATTGAAGATCCAACCGTGTCTTGATGTTTTCTTTCATATATCTTGCAATAAAAAAAAAAATTGGTATGTTCTTAAATTCCTTTTATCGTTCATTGATTTCGAGAAAATTGTATCAATTTCCTATTAAATTGGTATCAGAGCACTTTTTTGGTACCTATGGCGGCAAAGAAAGTTGATGCCTTGGACGAGCATCTTAAAGAAAAAGTTTGTCAACTAAAATAGGCGTTTGAGGATCGAATGACATCAATGGAGAAAAAAAATTTCAACCTAGAAGGAATGATAAAAAAACTATTGGAACTTCACACCCAACCAACAACATCAAAGGCGAGAGCACCATTTATTGGACTGGGAAGTGAGGGAAACTCTAATATAGGGATGATGAGGGACTATCGAGAGGCAGAAGTTTTGGGGGAAGAATAGAGATGCCATCTTTGGAGCCACTTCCAAGAAGGGGAAAGGGTGAAGGAGTGAGATTTTTGGTGAAGTTGAGAAGGAAAAAAAGATGGGGGGAAGATAGAAGCACCAGACATGATTAAGCCACTTCTACAACAATATCAAAAGATGGTCCAACCAGTTCAAGGGTTGCCTCCTCTACAGGAATGCGGGCATGCAATCAATCATCTTGAATGGAGTCTCACCTATCAGTGCTCATCTGTATCGTCATCCCCAAATCCAGAAGGATGATGGAGGAAGGGATTATTTGACCGAGTGTCAGTCCATTTCTCAGTCCAGTGCTATTAGTCAAATGCTTCAACAACAATTTCCTTCATTCCACCTTGAGGACAAGGTGACACTTGGGGAGGGAAGTATTGATGGACCGGCCAATTTGATTGAGAGAGAGAGAGAGATGTTTAGGAAGGTTATAATCAAATTTGAATTATTTAGGAATGTTTAAATTACAATTGGGAGAGATTTATTTAAGCAAGAGATCTAATTTGAATTCAAAATCTAAGAGGAAATTATTTAGGGAATATGTGAAGGAATTAAAGGGAGGGTGTTTAGGAAAATTTTAGTTACAATTGGGAGAGAATTAATTAGGAAAATAAATCTAATTTAAATTCAAATATGAGGGGAAATTATTTAGGGAAAGGGTAAGATTTGGGAGGGAATTATGGGAGCTTATTTAAGGCTATCAATAAGATGATTTTAGGAGGATATTTTGAGTTTGCTGAAATTAAAATTTCTTAGGTTGTGAGGGCTCTAGCAGCCGGCTAGGAATGTGGGAGAGCCGGATCTTCATCTCCAATTGAAGATCCAACTGTATATTGATATTTTCTTCTATAGATCTTGCAATAAATAAATAAAAAAGATTTTGATGTGTTCTTAATTTTTTATTGTCATTCACTAATTTCGAGGAAATTGTATTCATTTCCTATCACATTTGAAAAACACTAGGATGCTACAACTTGTGTGACATGTAATTCTCAACCATAGGATGATCTTTCATATCTTCTTCAAAGTTAATTTTTCTCAAATATTTGGAGCTGAATTTTTTCTCTTTTTGGAGTCATTGATTCTACAAACAACAACAAAAGCGCTTTCTCACTCTAGAGAGCACCTACAATAATATTTTTTCTAAGAACACTGGGCATCTTCCTGTTAGTAACGTAAAATTTTGAAGAAAAAAAAAAAACAAATAAAATAATTTGGTTTAATCATCCCCCAAGCATAAACATTATAAGGGGAATAAGGAACTCCTTATTGTCAAGAAGAAGTTAGAGCTCAACCTTCCAAGATAAGCCTTTAGATTTATTATGCAGCTATCAAACTAAGTGCTACTCAATTGCATTATGTTGAACTCTTCGGTGTATCATTTTTTCTTCCTTTGTAACCTTGTGATCTCTTTGTTCTATTAACGAGAAGGGCATTTTTCCTCCAACTTTCACAACGAAAAAACATATGTTGGACCCCAAAATGAATCTAAAAGAGCACATAAGCCTTTAGGAGTCTCTAGAAAGGCATGAATTTAAGAGTGTCAAAAAGCTCGACATTCACAAAATGCTCTAGTTCGCTCAATAACTAGTTCAAGATTACTTGTTTGGCAACTAAACGAGATGAGCTTGAATGAGGTATTTCAGCTTATTTGCTAAAGTACGACCACCAAAAGGAATTGTTCGATCATATTCAATTGATACATATACAAAAAATATAGAAATATGTAGATAGAGAGAGAGAGAGAGAGTGTGTGTGTGTGTGTGTGTGTGAGAGAGAGAGAGAGAGAGAGAGAGAGAGAGATTTTACAACTACATGTGAAAGGTTTAGCTTTACTCATTTATTTTACCAGTAAAACAATTGCATATACTGTGTAAATCATATACTAACATTTTTAAAGTTCTACAATGATTGTGTTGTAGTATGAAAATCATAAATATATTTTCACGCAATCAAAGCATCAACTGAAATATTGCCAAAGCATTTGATACTCATTGATTAGGCGTGCTAATTGTGTCGACTTAACAATAAGCTTAGGATGAACTAGACTTTTTAAACTGTCAACAAAGCCGAACTATCCTTTTTTATGACTGGATAGTTAGATGAATCAAGCCAAATAAGAACACAACTTATCATGTTCAATTTGGCAAAAGCCTTCTTCCGAGAGAAATCTATAGTGCAACTACTACAAAAAGAAAAATAAATAGCCTGTTGTTTCAAGATCAAGTGCTAAGTCAAAATTTAGAGCTATTGTCCAGGGATTTTGTGAGCTTATGTGGATCAAAATTATTTAAAAAAAAATAAAAATCAAAAGGGAATGACCAATGAAGATATTATATAACAATAAATCTACCATTAGCATTACTCATAATCTAGTAGAACATTATTATAACAAACATATGGAGGTGGATAGACACTTCATTAAAAAGAAATTAGAAAGTGGGTTGATAAACTTGCTTAGAATCCTTAAGCATATGGATTGAGTCTTCTAACTATTGGATTGGTCATCTTATGGCCCTTAGATTACAATATATATGCCTCCCCTCTTCCTATTCTAGCCATCTATCCCTCTTGATGACTTTTTTATCCTCTTCTTTTAAAAATAACATTGATTTATTTCTATTGTAAGCTTTTAGAGAAATCTATAGATAGATACTTACACACTTCGTACAAAATCAAGCAATAAACTCTAAAAGAGTTTTTCTACTTTTTCTTAAAAATGGTATTCTTTGCTTTTCACATAAGAACTATTTAGTTTGTGCAAATAACTCTATTCTATCAACCTGCCCCACCACGAACTGGGAAGCTTTCTTTCTCCATTGATGAACAATATTCCTTCTATGTTTGTACATGACTTATTTCTAAAAAGGGTGGCAAAGCTCAATTGGCCTTACACATGCTGGAGCGAGCACTGAATGAAATTAAAGTACAGAGAAATCGATGCAGAGGTAATACCATTTGGCACATCAGAGCCACCCGGTGGTTCATTGTGGAATGCATACCATTGCATTTTTCCAGCACCAACATCTGAAGAAACAAAATATTGCTTGTGACCAAGAAAAACACGGTACCTTCAAAAAAGCATTCCTCAAGCATTAGACTGCAACGTAAACAGAAATTTCATAAAAATGGCATACATTAAATGATAACGCTCTCCTGAATTACTCACTAGTTATCAAAGTTCCAAACCAGCAACAAAAAATTTTCTAGGAAATGCATATAGATAAATGGAAAAAGAAAAGCTAAAAGAGGGACTTATACCCAACAGTGTCTATATCAGGAGGCACAAAATCCGCAATACCAGTATAGCAAGTATATCCTGAGTAAGATGCCTCACTGTAACCAAATAAGATCTCCCGTACCTGCTTATATATGGTATTATTATCTAAAATATACAGCTTCCTTTAATATTTAATAAAAAAAATCACATCCAACTACCTTAGACCAAATACCATCTGCTCCAACAAGAAGATCACCTTCATACTGCTGACCATTTTCAAGAATCACAGTCACCTAAGCTTCAATGCTAGCATATTAGATCCATTATAAATTCTAACTAAGCGTGTGAAATATAATATTTCACTTTGTGCTGTTAACTTTCAAAATTAGAATAAAAGGAAAGGAAAAAAAAAAAGAAAAAGCCAAAGAGTAGAAGCTCTACTGACCTTGTTTCCATGGTCGGCAAAATCTACAATTTTACTATCATTCAAAATAACATCATAACCAACAGCATTGGCTAATATTTGCTGCAAAGACATGCGACTTATGACCCTTGTAACAGGAAGGCCACGTTCTGCAGCTGGAGTGAACGTATCAAACTTGATATACCTGAATACCAGGAGAAAGTTGGTTGGCAATGTAATAGTTAACTCATGAAGAAATTTATAAAAAAATTATATTAGAGTATCCTGATTAAAAAGTGATTAGGATAGATCTCAAAGCTCTAAGACTAGCTTTGAGATTGGTGAATATTACCTACATATATATTGCACTCATCTCAAAACAAATCCAAAAGATTTGAGACCTAATCTGGACAAAACTTTGGCTATACAACCAAAACATGAATGATAGTAAGTTAATCACAACATGAAATACATCACATCCCTCAATCGCAGGCACTGATATACCAAATTGCACAACAAAATAGATTAAGAACTTTGCTAACCAGGTATATGGCATTGCAGCCACCAGAAAAAAAAAAAAGAAACAATGGGAAGGAGATGAAGAAAAGAGAAGATATACCAGGTACCAGAAATCCCGTCGACAAGACCATTTATCCTGTCGCCAGTTACACATCCTGTTTCCATCACTTCCTCGGCCACCTGCGAGTCGATAGCCTCGAGCGCAGCCAGTGCGTTGCTTTGAATCTGAATCGGCCCCCTATACTGCCCCTCCCCTCTAATCGCGCTCATGTCCTTCTCAAACACCAACACATCGAAACCCTTCTTCTTCACCGCCAGCGCCAGCACCAACCCACCAATCCCACCCCCGGCGATGAGAATACGAAGCTTCTTGCGCTCCAGATCCAACTCCGGCAGAGCAGACCCCACTTGGGCCAGATTGCCGGTAGCCGATGTAAGAATCCCCCTCTGCCTCCACATCTGCTTCCTACCGTTGTAAAATCGATTCCTTTGGAGGGAAACTAGATAAGGTTCATCGGGTAGAAGAACCGGAGATAGATATGACAAGTGGGTAGGAAAAGGGAGGAGAGCAGCGCGGAAGAGCACCATAATGGCGTCGTCTCAATGAGAAATCAAGTTACTTTTACCACTCGCAGAAGCAGTACCGTACTCCGGGAACTGGATAATGAGCAATTCTCTTAAAAATGCCGACTTTTCTTCGCACATATTGCTCTTTTCTTCAACCACAGAGCTATTCTGACATATTTTCTTTTCTGGTGGTGGAGATCGTAAGTGGGAATGGTGGGCAACAATCAGAAGCCAGAAAAAGCTTCGTTTTTGAACTGAGATAACATGAGAGCCAAGTTCAAGGTGGATGTCTTGACAGCTGGAGATGGCAGGGAGATCTTTAACTGTAAATACTGGATGTGGATTACAAGAGCAGGGGCCACACACCTCAAGTCGGCATCACGCTCGGCGAATCCCCTCTCAAGTATTCCGACCATATATTGCTCCATGCGCGCCATGCTCTTAGCTTAATCGCATCAAGACAAAGCTCCTGAGTTAATAATTGTGAATATAAGCGACAACATATGGATAAATTTTATAATCCTTTTTATAATCATATTATGCCTTAAAATTTTTAAAAGACTTTTGGGTCGGCTGCATTAAAAAAATGGCGCATTTTATTTTAATGTTTTTAATGTTGATATAAAATAAAATACAATTTTAATGTTAATTGTCCACTTGCACCCATCTCCGCCGCCCCTCCCGTCGCAAACGCCCATCGCCGTCGCCTGTTACAATCGTCCACCTCCCACCACCACCTGTTCACAGCATTGCCTATGCCCTCTTTCATCGCTATTAAAAATACGTTATAACAAATGTAAAAATATTTTTATATATTTAATTTATAAATCTAACTAAATTATATTTTTAAAAAATATCTGCATTTTATTGATTTTATATTTTTTAAATATATATATTTTTTTAAACATTCAAAAAATAATAAAAAAATTTACAGAAATATCTGTAATATATTTTGAATTTTGTTATGAAATATTATGATGTATGTATATATATATATATATATAATATTTGCGGCCGTAGAGAAATATAAAGTTTAACGTCTTAGCGTTGTATTGTACGAAGATCCAGCACACAAGCAGATAAATGAGAGTATATAGCATTCATATGAGACACCAAGATGTTTACGTAGAAAACCTCTGAAAATGAGGAAAAATCATGGGGCCTAGCCCAGTTTGAATGAATCCACTATTATTTGCAGTCGATTACAAATGAGGTCCTTCCTTAGGGGGAATGCCTTGCCTTGATGTACATTATATGAAGTACATGATGGAAATACAAAAAGTCACTGTTAACATATTCGTTTGGTCGGAAGGATCTTAGTTGATGGGCGACGGAGGTTGGAAGGACCATTGTCTGACGACGGAGGTCAGAAGGACGACGTCAAGTAGAAGTCCAGCAATGGAAAGAAATCCAACATCGATAGGATGTTGACGAAAATCCGACAAAGGGCAGAAGTCCAGCATCAAGGTAAAATTCTGGCGAGGAGTGGACTCCGGTGTCGGGTAGAAGTCCAACGTCGGCCGAGGAGAACTCCGATGTTAGATGGTATTCGAGCAAAACTCCAGAGTCACTTGGAGATCGGATAGGATCCGGCATCACTTAAAAGTCAGACGGAACTACGGCATCACTTAAAAGTCAGGCGGAACTACGACATCATTTGAAAGTCGGGCGAAACTCCGACGATGGTCGAGGAGGACTTCTTCCCTCCTACTCTTCTTCCTTGGTTCCCTCTTAAGAGAAATGAAGAGATTATTTATATTTCTGAGAGTGACATGACCCGTAAATAGGGGGAGGATCAAGGACAAATGTGGAGTGGTTTGAATGGATGGCCGATATTAAATCCTTGATTGTGGACCGTTTCGTCAAATATTTGAAGTCTTAATGATATTGAAATTGGCGATCTTGGTTTGTTGGATTCGTCTCGTTGAGCGCTCGATTCGACTATAAGCATTGTCAGTGTTTTGAAACCATTTGATAATCCAATTGTGGTTTTGAACTTTCCAACGGCGCTTCGGGTCTTCAATTTGGACCCATTTGGGTTTGGATTTTGATAGATTGAGTTTGAATTGGATGTTGTTGTGGTATTCGTTCCGAGATCAGTTGGACTGTATGTTTGTTGAAATGTGGAAGTTCAATGATGGATCCATTATTGTAAGTTTGAAGTTTTCCAATTTTGATTGTTGCTTCAAGATTTCGTGTTCCGATCCAGATAACTTTTTATGATGAATGTGATGTAGATATAATATATTATGTTGTGATATATATATATAAATTATAAGAAATATATATATATATATATGTTGTAGTATGTGATAGTGGTGGTTGGTGAGTAGGGGTAATTAGGATTAGAATCTATGCAGAAGAGTATATTGTGTATGATGTTAATAGTTGATATTTTTGTTATTGTCGTGTATAGATATTTGATGTTGCTCGATGGATGTCAGAACTGTGTCCGTTATTTTTGGCGGTTGCAATTAATGAGTTGCTTTGAGTACTGTTATGATAAATCGATTGTCAGTTGATTGGGAGTTGATGTGTATGTAGAGCTTGGTTTTAGTGTACTGTGTTGATTTTGGGATAATGGTGTCGTCAGAGTGTGTGTTGAGGAGGATATATGACAATAGAAAAAGTATAGATGTTGCGAGGTTGTTGGGTGGTAAAGGATAGTGGTGTGTGCTGGTGTTGAGTATCAAAGGAAAACCTTCTAATAGTTTTAAATGGTTGTGGTAGAATCAAAATGGTGCAAGAAAAATATAATAAAAATATTCAAATAATTTGTTTAGATTGTATTAATAATTGCTGATTATTGAGAAAAAATATATAAAGATGTTTATTACGATAATTAGGAGTCTAGAACATCAAATATGCGATATAAAGATTTTTAGTTTTTAATGATTTATATTCATATTGCGTTTTAGATAATAAGGATGAAGATATATATATATAGTTAGGTAGTATGTTGTTAGGTATACCGGTGTTTAATATATATATATATATATATATATATATATATATATATATTAGTCAAATATAGATATAGAAGTAGTAAGGATTTAATTCAAGTGAAACCTATTAACGATGAAGATAAAAAAAAATATTTTTATTTGAAGAGGATATTCAACAAAAATGGATGAGATGTTTTTATAAACTCTTCAATAAAGATTATGAGTGTGATTGACTTTAGTGACCTTAGCACCTAAATGAAAATAAAAATATTTACTTTTATCAGCGTGTTAGTAAAACCGAAATTAGAGAGACTTTAAAGAAAATGAAGTGTGGAAAAGTTATTAGATCTAATAATATTCCAATAGATGTGTGGAAATGCTTAGGAGATGGAAGGAATTTTTTGGCTTACTAAATTTTTAATATTATTTTGAAGACTGAAAAGGTGTCAAATGAGTATAGAATGAGTTTGTTGATTCCTATTTTTTAAGAATAAAGGTGATGCATAAGATTGTGTGAATTATAGAGGAATTAAATTAATATATCATATTTTAAAACTATGGGAGATAGTTATAAAGCATAGATTACAGCATGATACTAATGTTTCTCAAAATCAATTTGGATTCATGTCGGGTAGGTCTAATATGGAAGCTATACATTTATTGAGAGCTTTGATGGAGAAGTATAGAGAGAATTAGTTGGATATACTCATGATATTTATTGATTTAGAAAAAAAGCATATGATAAAGTCACATAAAATGGCGGCCTTCTAATGACCCAATTAGAAAAGTAGATGTATTAGATTTGACTTATGTTAAGAAATATAGAGGTAAACCTAAAAAGACTTGATTAGAAAATATTAGAAATGACCTTTCTTTATAAATTTAAATGAGAATTTAACTTTTAACAAGGCACAATGAAGAAAAAAGATTCATGTAGTTGACCTCATATAGTTGGATAAAGGATTGGTGTTTATTGTATATGATAAAGTTTCAAGAGAAGTGCTATATAGAGTTCTAGAAAAGAAAGAGGTTAATAATGCTTATATTCAAGTCATCAAGGATATGCATGCAATAGCTATTACTTATGTTCAGACGCAAGGTGATTTGACCAAGTATTTTTTCCATTTTGTTTGGATTACATCAATGATCAACCTTAAGCCCATATATTTTTGCTTTAGTCATCACTAGACATTTCCAAGAGATTGTTGCTTGTTACCCTGGTGTTTGCTTGTTACTGATAATATTCTTCGTGTTGATAAGACTAGAAAGGGAGTTGAAGGTAAACTAGAATTATGGAGGTCAACCTTAGAGTTTAAAGGCTTTCGTTTGAGTAGATCTAAAACTGAATATATGGAGTGTACTTTTAGTGATAATAGATCTAGTTGGAGATTGTGACTTTGAGTGATCAAGTCATTAATAAAAGTACGTATTTTAAATATCGTAGGTTTATTGTTCAAAGTGATGGTGAAATAAATGTGAATATTATTAATAAAATTCGAGTTGGATGGTTGAAGTAGAGGAATGCATCAAGCTTGTTGTGTGATAGAAAAGTCACCCACAAATTTAAGGAAAAATTCTATAAGATGTTGGTTAGATCTTTAATGCTTTATGGTGCAGAATATTGGTCATTAAAAGAGAAGCATAATATTAAGTTAAGTTTTGTAGAGATGAGGATGCTCAGGTGGATGAGTTGCTTTACTGTTAGAGATAGGATATGAAATGAACATTTATGTAAAACAGTTGGAGCAACTCCAATGGAAGATAAGATTAGAGACAGTCATCTTAGATGGTTTGATCACATAAAACGACGGCCTTCCAATGACCCGATTAATAAAGTAGGTGTATTAGATTTTAATTATGTTAAGAATGGCAGAGGTAAACCAAAAAAAAAAACTTGACTATAAAATATTAGAAATGACCTATCTTTATTAGATTTAAATGAGAATTTAACTTTTAACATGGCACAATGGAGAAAAAGGATTCATATAGCTAACCGCATATAGTGGGATAAAAACTTGATGTTGTTGTTGTATTAATATTAATAATTCAAATTTTTTGTTCTTACAGAAGAATTTCTTGATAGAAATTGCAAACCAAAAGAAAAATGAAAGGATAAAAAAAAGCCAAGCTCACAAACTAAAAAATAAACTTCTCTGTGGTCTGGAAACAATATGAAGGTGCGCTAGATAGATTCAGGATCATGCAAAAACTACCTGGTTTTTATTAACAGTGCATGAGGAACTTACCTTATCAAACAGGCGTAAAGAAACAAATATTCGAACTGCCCACGTCATTGAGATCCCTTGCAGAATCTAGTAGTCAAAACAAGGGATTTCAGATCAAAACCGAGGTAGGAAATCCTGTCAAGAAGATGAAGAAAAGACAAGCAAGCAATGTAACAGTACAAACTGGTTCTCAGAGAAAATTTGATAATCGTATTCTGCCTCTTCTCAGCTACAGCTTTTCATATTATACTAACAAGTATCCTGATGCTTTCAAGCATCCACCTAAAAAAAGGGACTAAAAGGTTAAAGGGTAAACATGTACTAGCATACTAATAATAGTAACTAAAATAGTAGAGCATAAATATAACTAACAGAATTTTGGCAATGATTTTGTAAATAATATTACATAAAGAAATGGGCCTAAAATCCGAAAAAGAGCAGGCATACTTAGATTTGGGAATTAGAACAATGGCTGTTGCTTTAACCACACGGGGAATATACCCTTGGGCGAAGAAAGATTTAACTGCTTTGCACACACTAGGCCCAATAATATGCCAGCCAGATTTGTAAAAATGAAAGTTAAACCCATCCGGGTTAGGCGCAGAAGAGGACCACCCAAAAAAACTGCTTTTTTAATTTCTGAATTAGTCACAACCTGAATAAGAGATTGAGAATAAGCTACAGGCAAGCAACGTCTAGTAGGAAAATGATCCATATCATTAAAGGTTAGGGGGGAGGGTTATAAAGAGCTTGGAAATGACTAATGATGGAAGAGATGAAGTCATCTCTAGTGGAGTTAGTGACTGTGGAGCTAAGATTCACCACCGCCTTGCTGCTGCAATATCTACTGTGAATCTTGGCATATAAAAATGTTAGATCATCTTCCCCACGACTCAACCAGTTAGATTTAGCTCTCTGAATGACCCAAGAAGCTTGCATAGAGGAAAGCTCGGAGATTTGAAAATTAATACCTTTTAAAGTGGCATTCAGAGAGGAGTTTAAAGGATTCGCACTAACCATCTCAAGACAAACCGATCATAAATTATGATGAAGCTCATCAAGCTGATTTTTTATGATAGAAGAGTTTACCCAGCTCTCTTTTTTAATATTTGCTTTGAGCAATCTAAGGATTTGACATAAATTAAGCATAGGATTTCCAGAAATATCCTTGGATAAGGCCTCAAGCACAGGTTGCCAGTACCTATTCATATTAGTCTAGAAATTTTTGAAAAAAAATCTGTGTTTAGAAGCAAGAGAGATGCCAGAATGAAGGACAATTGGAGAATGGTCCGAGCATGAGGGACTTTGCAGGGAGCAATACGAGCTCGGAAATGTTCTCATCCAAGCCTCGTTGATAAGAGCTCTATCCAATTTAATATGAAATGGATTATCGGTGCGCTGATTAAACCAAGTGTAATGACATCCAACCGAGTGCATGTCCGTCAAGGACAAATCAAAAATTAAAGTATTGAGCTCCCAAAGATTGCTTTGGGTAAGAGGAGACCCACCCAGTTTTTCCGATGCGAATCTGCAACAATTGAAATCTCCCATAAGCAACCAAGAGGTGCTAGGGGTCGGAACAAGCTGCCTAATTTGATCCCAAAGCAAAACTCTGTCAAAGGCACTGTTAGCAGCGTAAATAACAGTTAATTGAAAAGGTGGGAGGCTACTGAAAGAGACGGAGCCAGAAATTAATTGTGAGATTTGAAAGCAGGAGAAAAAAGCAATTTCTTAGAGTTCTGCTTGATCCAAATTCAACCAGATTTGGAAAGATCGAAGTTATTGCAAGAGTACTCAGTCACAAAAACAGTGTGAGATAGGGAGAAGAAGGGGTCCCAGAGTGAGGATGCAAGAATCCTATTTTCTAGTAAGCAAATCATGTCCAAATTAAAGGATTGAATCAGACATTTACAACAAAACACTTTATCAGGGCTGTTGAAACCGCTGATATTCCAAGAAGCAATGGAATGAATTGACATTAGGATTTAGGTGGCTGTGGGGGTTTCCTCCCCTGTTTCCCCTTGGGAGCTTTCTTTGGTTGCGTTGAACTAAACTATGTTGTCAATAATCAAAAAATTTCGCAGCAGAACCCCCTGTAACTGGAAGATTGGATTCAATTTAGCCTTCATCCTGAAGTTGAAGTATGCCAAATTTGTTAGAAGAAATCACCGCCGTAGACGGATGCATGCCTGGGATGATAGAGGTGCTAGAAGAGGAGGTTTCAACATCCGTGGGTTAGTTAAGGTTTGGGATGGTAGGATTCACCTTGTCAGATGCGTCAAAAGTGGATGTCAAGGGGATTGGAGGAGGTGGATGCTGAGAAACCAGCTTGTCCAAGTAGGGTTGCTAGGCGGGACAGAGGGATTTTGATTTAGGTTTGGTGGAGCAGTGGAGGATGGGATTATCTGTGTTGAGAGGGAGGGAGTAGGATTTACGTTTTTTGGGGCAACAACAGATGTTGTTGATGGACCATTTTGAATGTTGGTTGCATTCTGATAGCCAATAACTTGAGGAGGAACAAAGGAAGTACGACCTCTGGGCTTTCTACTGGAACTTCTTCCTCTTGCGGTAGGCACCGCAGAGATGGGGTTAGTAGAGGGATTGGACTGTCAGAAGGTTTTGACAAGCATAATGAGGAATAGTGAACTAGGGAATTGCTAATAGGTTATGCATTTGATCATTAAAGATAATCAAGCAGGCTTTGTGAAATCCAGAGTCTCTACGAATAATATTATTCTGGCTAAGGAACTTCACTGGAACATTAGGTGCAATTCCCCAAAATTTTTTGTGCTAAGTTAGACATCCGTAAAGCCTTCGATGCGGTTTATAGGGATTTTCTCCTGGAGAGGATGAAGCAAAAAGGTTTTCCTTGCATGTTTATTAATTGGATTAAATCTTGCATTGTTGATGTCAATTTCTCTATAGTGATAAATGGTGCTCTGGAAGGGTACTTCTCTTCTTCTGCGAGCCTGAGGCAAGGTTGCCCTCTCAGTCCATACCTTTTTTGCATAGTCATGGATGATTTCTCTGCTCTGATTGATAATGGGGACTTTAAAGGTATCAACTTAAATGGCTATAAGTTAACTCACCTCCTATATTCTAATGATCTTTTGGTATTTGGGAAGCCGGATATCCAAAATTGCAATAATTTGTCTCATGTTCTCAATTCTTTCGGTAATGCTTCTGGTCTTCATATAAACTAATAAAAAAGTTGTGTTATGTTCCCTAACAGTATTGGGAATCAGGAGGAAATCTGTACTGCTTTATACATTTCAAACATTGCTCCTTAGATCACTTATTTGGGTATTCCTCTGTCTTTCAATAGACTAAAAGTTTCGGATTACTTACCTCTCATGGACAGGATCTCTTATAAGTTATCTGGATGGAATGTCAACCTCCTTTCGTTGGCTGGTCATTTGCAATTTTTGAAATTCATGATTTTAAATTCCATAGCTTATTGGATTTGCGGATCTATCTTACCCAAAAGTGTTTCTAAATTTGTTAGGAAAGTTTCCTCCAAGTTTTTGTTTTTTGGTGAATCTGGGTCCACGAGGAAACTTCGTTTGGTTTCTTGGGACAATGTGTGCAAGCCCAAATACCTTGGAGGATTGGGTTTGACTTCTCTACAAGCTCTATAATTTGCTTATAATTGCTCAATCATTAGCAGAATGTACAATAGAGAATCCCCATTATCCTCTTGGCTGATTCATACCTACTCTTCCCCCTGGCGTCCAGCTTCTGAAAATTTGTTTGTAACTATGTTGTTCATTTTAAGCATGCTTTTCATTTCAATGTCACCACTTCTTCACCTATTCATTTGTACCGGGATCATTGGTGCAAGGGGTATATTATTGCTGATATATCAGATGGGAATGCCTTGCTGCATGCGTATGACAAGAATGCCCTTGTTAAAGATCTTATTATGGGAGATAAATGGAATCTGCCTGCTGAGCTTCCCAGTTCAGTTGTTAATGTCATTATTGAGATTCCCATTCTTCACAACACAGCTGTTTGCTTATCATGGGGTAACTCGGGTGTTGATAAATTTGCTTTATATATTAAGGAGTTTTATAAATATCTACCCCCTGCCCTTGGGCAGATATGATTTGGCATAAAAATCATGCTTTGTGTTTCTCCATTTATGTCTGGCTCTCACTGGTGGGGGGACTCAAAACAGTAGATGCCTTGAACAAACGTAACATTTATGTTGATACGACTTGTAACCTATGCTCCTTCTCCAATGAGCCCACATCCCATCTATTTTTCGAATGCAACTATTCCTTTTCTATTAAAGTAGAAAAGGTACTAAGATAAAATGCCCCTCCAACCTTATCTATGTAAAGATATACTGTATCATATGTCCTCTCCATGAAGATAATTTGTGTTGATTGAGTCTATGTTGGCTGAAATATCATCCAGTGGGAAATATTGGTATATATCTGAAATATTGAAGGCATATGCCGTGTTGAACTCATCTAGTAGATCAACAACATATGCGTAATTGTTGAATTTTTTGACAATAGGGAATGCTCCAAACTTTAGGCGGCTTAGCTTAGAATAAGTTCCAAGAGCAAAACATTCTTTTCTCACACGAACCAATACTAAATCCCCAAGATTTCTAATATATATCCCTCCAATGGAATCAGTAGCCGGCTTATATTGATTATTAGACTCCTATAGCTTCAACCGAACATTAGATAGAAAATCCGAAAACTGTTCAGTCCAACACTAATGCTGCCTTGCTTTTACATTTGGGAAGAACAGGAATATCAAGAATATTGTTTGGCATTTCACTGTAAATTATGCCGAAAGAACACCTACCCATTGAGCGATTTGGCATGGAATTGAATGTGAATTCCGCTTGGCCGAGTACCTCATTCCATAATTTAGGATGCTCTTGCACTAAACGGCAAAGTAGATTGTCAGTGTTCTATTTACCATTTCGATTTGCCCATCTATTTGTAGGTGGTAAGAAGAACTTAAATGGATTTGAGTATGCAGGCATTTCCACATCTCTCGCCAAAAGTTATTTATAATTTGAGCATGAGGCTTCTTGGGATTCCATGAAGGTGAACTATCTCTTGAAAAAAAAATTTTCAATGTTTAGGGCATCAAATATTTTTTTGCGAGCAATAAAGTACACCATTTTGAAAAAATGATTTACGACCACCATAATAGAATCATTTCCAAGCTTAGTGCGAGGTAAATCCAAAACAAAGTCCAAACTCAAATATTCCTAAATAGATTCAAGTACTGGCAAGGGTTAAATAAACTTGTGTTTTGACTGCAACCTTTATAACTTTAGCATATAGAGCATCTCTCCACAAATCGAGAGACATCTTTCCTTAAATAAGGCCAAAACAAGCGCAGTTGTAGTTGTGCGATGGTATTTTCACGGCCAACATGAGCAGATAAACCTCCACTGTGCACCTCTTTAATGATCTATCGCCTCCAAGAAGACTTTGGAACACGAAGAAGGTTGCCTTTTGGCGAGTAGAGTATTCCGCCACCACTTCTTTATTAATGAATTTGTGAACAAATGTCCAAAATACTCATTATCGGGGGTATAACTCTTCCAAACACTCAAGGCCAAAATATTATGTTTGAATTGTGTCAGAAGAGCTACTATGCGACTGAGCGCATAGACCACACGATTATGTGCGTCTCTTTTTTGTTTTAAAACAAAAATGAATTTCTGTAAGAAAAGAATCCAACGTGTATGCATTCTATTTATGTTCTTTTGTGTTAATATACTATAAAGCTTTGGGATCACTGCAATGAACAAAATCCTAGTGAAATAAATAATGTTCCCATTGTTTTAAAACTCGAATGACAACATATAACTCTTGTTGTTATACAATCCACTATTGCCTTGTTGGGCATTATTTTTCACTAAAACATTCAATCGGTTTATTTTCTTAAGCTAATACGGCACCCACACCTACTGTTGAAGTATTAATATCCACTATAAATGCATGGCTTATCAAAATTTGGGAGAGCTAAGACAAGTGCTGTGGACAGCTAAAACTTGATGGCTTCAAAGCTTCTTTACTAAGTTGATGTCCACAAAAACAATTTATGCATCAAACCATCGATTATTGGAGTCATAATTATGCTGAAACCTCTAAGAAATCATCAGTAAAAATTGGCCAAGCTATGAGAGCTACAAATATAAAAAAAAAAAGATTGGGATGTTGGCCATTCAACTATAGCAATAACTTTACGTGGGTCTACACTCACCCCGACTACCGAAACAATGAATCCCATGAATGAAATACTTGGAGTGACAAATTCACATTTAGAAATATTCAAGTATAACTCGTTCTGCCTCAATACCTCAAAAATTCTCGTCAGGTGTAGCAAATGATCTTTCATAGTGGAACTATACACTAGCATGGCATCGAACTATACCACAAAAAATTTACTTAAAAATGGTTTAAGTATTTTATTTATGAAAAGCACAAAAATGTATAGCGTTTTACCCAAACCAAATGGCATTACCTTCCATTCATATAGATTGTGGCGAGTTTTGAAGGTCATTTTCCATTCATCTCCCGGATGAATTCGAATTTGATGATAACCACTGCGAAAGTCAAGCTTTGAAAAAATATTGGAACCAAACAATTTATCCAACATTTCTTCCATTCTCGGCATAGGAATATGAATTTAATAGTGATTTTATTAATGGATCGGTAGCCTGCTCTTTGGATTTAGACCTTCTAATCTAGGTTCCTCTAATGAATTATACTCAACAGTTTTTCCTTAGAATTTTCTTTAAAAAGCATATATTTCATATATGTTTTGAGTTATTATGTGTGTGCAGAATTTTGTGCAACTCGCAAATATGTAAACTCTCTCAAACATTCTAGCACTCAGTATGCAACAATTGGAATGGCCAACTTATAAAGAGAATAAAACAAAAGATCACCTGCTTCCTGGTTCGAGAGTCGAGACCTTGCAGCTGATTCATTGTTCTTTATCGTTCTCCTTTGCTGCTCTCCACGACCTGACCTACTGCTCCACTGCACTTCCTCCCCCTCGAACCCCCATTGAAGACATTGCACGGGAGAAAACAAGAAAGGTCTCCGTTCACTTCTGCAAGGACGTCTGAAGGAATCGGGCTCGTCGGCAATACCAGTGAGACAACGTTGGCCCCTCCTCCCAAGCCAAACCACCCCAGGGATCATCCCATTGTTAATAAGCAGATCCCCAATACCAATGAGTCCTTTGCCTCTAATCCCTAGAAGACTCCCGAGATCGACATTACTGCCCAATCGCAACAGAGGGGTTATGGCCTCGTGCCCGTGGCGGACATAGCGAGACTATCGCTAGAATTGCCAGGAATAGATCTCATCATGATGCCCACTTTACTGCATCCTGCCTGAGAAAAACCGGAGGCGAACCCGCTGTTGTTGTTTCCAGAAGACAACAATCTCCGCAAATAAAAGCGGGACTCGAAACCGAATGGTCGATCCCCTCTCTCACCACCCCAGCTCGTACAAGAAAATCCTTCAGGGTCATCTCCCCTAGGGTCGGCTGCCGCTACTTCTGCCGGAAATCGGATCCACCCACTCCGCCGGCGTTCTCGCGAGTAAGGCCTAACATACCACATCAACGGTCTTCTGACTGAGAGTTCTCCGAAGGGTAAGCGATCGCTGACGCTGGAACAATTATTAAGTCCTCTGACCTGACGTATAGCTACGTTCCGCCTGCCAATAACATGTCGCCCCCCAATAACATGTCGTCACGTGCTCTTACTCTAAACCACGCGGCCCGACGACTTGACCCGGAGCGGAACCCGGAAATGCTATGTTCGCGATTTTCTCGGTATCTCGGTATTTGCTAGGTATTGCTTTGTAAAAATGAGAAATACCGCTCTGTGAAGACCAATACCATGCAAATACCGAGTTGTACCGAGTTTTTTACAACTCGGTACAACTTGGTATTTGCTCAGGATTTGCTCGGTATTGCTAGAAGAAAAACTCAAGTACAACTCGTACAACTCAGTATTTGCTCAGGATTTGCTCGGTAATGCTAGTATGTTTGCTCGGTATTGGTTAAAAAAAAACTCAGTACATACTCGGTATTGCTCAGGATTTGACTCGTATTGCTAGTATTTGTCGTATTGTTTAGAAAAAGAACTCAGTACAATCGTATTAGCCGGATGCTCGTATTGCTCAGGATTTGCCCCCCTAGAAAAAACTCAGTAAACCGTGATTGCTAGAAAAAACTCAGTAGTTGCTGCGTATTGCTAGAAACAACTATTATTGTTCTATCGACTCCAAAGCGCAGCGCAAGCCGAGAGCTTCTCTGCCGAGCGCCTATCCCTTCTCCCATAGTTGATCTTCCACTACTTCTCATTTTTTCCAGCAAAGTCGACGCCTCCACCTCTTCAGAGCGATAATGGCAACCCTTTCAATCCCTTCAGCAGAGAGAGAGAAGAGAGAGAGAAGAGAGAGAGCAGAGAGAGAGAGGAAGACTTCTTCCCATACTCTCCGACGTCGATTCCCCGTCTTCAGGATGGAAAGTTACTCATTTTGATGGCAGCAAAAAACGGGAGCTCGCTTGTAGTCTTCTCTTTACGCGGTTCTTCGGGCCAAATCCTTTTGGGAGAGAGAGTTAAAAAAAACGCATGTGCGAAAATCCCAAAAAACAGCGGGTCGGTCGGGCGTCTTTTCTTCCCTGCTAGTGCGCAAACATTGGTGGCCGAACGTAAGAGGAACGTAGTCGTTCACACGGAACAAATAAAAGTTCCTGACGCTGAGGCAAAGGATTGGGCTGTACCGGTTACCAGCGTGGGGACGCGCGGTAATTTTTATTTGGCGGTGTTTACTCAATTCCAGTTGCCCCCTTACTGTTTACCTCGCGCAGCCCGATTACCCGACCCGGACTGGACCCGGGAATTGTTATGTACGAGCTGATTTCTGCAAACGGAGATATTGCTCGACAAATAACGAGAAATATCATTATGTGAAGACCACTACTAGAAATACCAAGTTTTTGCTAGGTATTGGCTTAGTATTGCTCGGTATTGCTAGATATTGGTCTTGACAGAATGGTATTTCTCGTTATTGTCAAGCAATACTAGCATACTAAGCAATATACGAATAATGCCTAGCAATATGCTAACATACAATATCGGGTTCAGGTTCGGGTCGGGTCGTCGGCTTTGCGCAAAGAGTAAGAGCACGTGGCGATATGTTATTGCCTCCGGATGTAGAGCTACGTTCGGTGTCCGATTAATAATTGTTACGACGCCGGAGGCATTCAAATTTTCTTTTCATAGACATTTTCCAACAAAAAAAACTCATTTTCACTTCAAAATAGTAAAATACACTAATTTATCTCTAATCGAACTTTCTTAACGTAAAAAAAAAAAGAAGATATATATATATTATATATATATATATATATCTTAAAAAAAATAATTGGTGTTTGTGAACAGTGCGACGCTCAAATATCTGATGTCGCACTGTTCACCTTCCGAATGTGACGTGTGATT